TTGGTCTAGGCTTTGGGTTCTCTCTTTTGATTTTATATTGGAGGGGCCCGATGGCTTTAGTCCAGCTGTTCAGGAATTCCCACAGAGGCCCGAGTCAGATGAGGATCAGATGCTCTCAGGCTTTCTCCTAAGGTCTGGGTTCCTCTAGTCAGCAAGCACAGTACAATTTGGGAGGCTTGCTGGGTAGAGGTAGGATTCAGGAACTCTAGGACGATCAGGGGAGGAGGTTGGTCTCAGGAATCCCAGGCAGGTTGGGGGTGGGGACAGCTAGGGTGGAAGCCTGGTTTTGGGTGTGCAAAGGCAGGCTTGGGGGTGGGGGCAGGCTGTGAGGTCTCCAGGGAAGTAGACTGAAGAATTGGGTTGGTCTGGGTGCAAAGGTACAGGAAGCAGTGGGGGGATCTGGGGTCAAGTGGGTAATCCAGAGGTCTGGAGTGCCAAGAGAAGTGGGCCTGTGCCCAGGGCTAGAAGGAGAATGTTACGAGTTCTTCACACTGCTTTCCACAGTGGTCCCATGAGTTTGTGTTCCCCATTCCCCACATTCTCCCCAGCATTTGGTACCATTTGTTCTCAGGATCTTAGCCAGTTTGACTGGGACAAGATGGAATCTTAAAGTGGCTTTAATTTACATTCCCCAAATTACTAAGGATGTTTAACACTTTTTAAGGTGCTTCTTAGCCACCTTTATTTCTTCTTTTAAGAATTCTGTTCAGATTCCCATCGTTTTATTGGGCCATTTGTTTTGTTTTTAGAGTTCTTTGTATGTTCTGGATATTAATACTCTGTCAGATATGTAGCTGGTGAAGTGAAACTTTTTGCTTTACTGGAACAATTGAGGTTAGTTAGTTGAGGCTAAAAAAATCAGCTATGATTAAGAAGAGACCAGCTCATGTACAAGGATTTGGTGCTGAGATCCACAAATGAGAGAGAATATACGTCCTTTTTTTTTTTTTTCCTGAGTCTGCGTTACTTCACTTAGTTTAACAGTTTCTAGTTCCATCCATTTACCTGTGAATTTCATGATTTCATCTTTCTTTACCACTGAATAGAACTCCATTGTGTATATGTACCATATTTTCATTATTAACTCCTCAATTAAGGGACATTTAGGTTTTTTTTCCATTTCTTAGCTATTGTGAAAAGAGCAGCAACAAACATGGATGTACAAGTGTCTCTGCAGTAGGATGTCCTCTTTGTGTATATGCCAAGGAGTGGTATAACTGGGTCATATGGTAGGTTCACTTTTAGTTTTAATTTTAAGAGTTCTCCACACTGCTTTGCATAGTGGTTGCATGAAATTTACAATCCCGCCAGCATCACAGGAGTCAGAAAAATGGAAAGGAACCATGGAGGTAAGGGGAAAGAAAGCACAAGGGGGGGAGTAATCGGAGACAGATGTTACTGAGACGGTAATGGAGAAAAGGGTCATTTAACTGGGGAAGGAGGGAAGGTTATAAAGTGGGAGAAGAGAGAGGGGGGATAACAGGAGGCAGGTATTATCAAGGGAAAAATGGAAAAAATGAGGATACTTTAACTGGTGAGGGAGGATTAGATAGGGAGAGAGATGAGAGATAAATAATGCTTTGGTGGTGTGAAAAACCAGAGGGAAATGAATTATTTCAAAAGCTACCGGAAAATACACATACGCTATCTGAACATGAGTACATGTGTATACTGAAGGCTATATAACCAAAAACAGACAGGAGAAACCTCCCTCCAAATTGTTGGTCAGGGTAGTCCAAGAGGCTCTGAAAATAACACAGGTTAAAAGTTCAAAAAATATTTTAAAAAATAACACAGATTTTTGCCACTGCCCTTGATTACTTCCCAGAACTTGAAGGTAAGACCCTATTGCTGAGTACAGGACATGCTTCAAACACAGGATTTGGAGAAACGGAGGTGGAGCTGACCTGGATGCCACCTCCTGAAGACTAGCTCTCAGTTTTGGAACACACTATGAAGAAAATCAATCAGTGGTCCAATTCCAATTTGAAAGCCTAACAACCACGACAATTCTGGCACAGCAAACAATATTGTTGCGGTAGTGGCACTTTTATCTGGGGTTAATCAACAGCTACCTAATTGGACATAAAGTCCATTTAATGGGAGGGAACTCGTGTGACATGTAAACATAGCGAAATACACATAGCTGGAGAAGTCATAGAGTCTAGAGAAAATCCTATGTCTGTCACATCTTGATAAACGTAATTTCTTATTGTGTGCTAAATATGTATCCTTATATACATATTGATACATATGTATCCATTTATACTGGTATACAGACAAGTATACCAGTTACCACTCATCAAAGAAGCTTATTTTTATAACAGATTGAGACTACTATAGAATTCTACAACTGGTCACACACTGAGAATATATGTCTGTGAGATGCTCAGCCCTAAGTGACACATCTACAATGGAACCTCTACACCTAAAGCTCACGGAACATAGTGGAACAGGAGGTAGAGAGACTATACTAATGCAGCTCTCAACTCCTGCCAGTGAAGCTCCCTCATGGAACAGATGGTGATGCACACAGAAGGCCACAACTGGCAAAATGTAGAGAATAAGAGACTGCAGAATGTGTGTCCCTGGATGGGACTATATTAGGCCTCACCCACCCAGGGCTCAGGGACCATTGTGGAAGAGGAGGCAGAAAGACTGTAAAAGCCAGGGGTGGTGCATAACCATAAGGAAACAGTCTTCCAAGCTTTCAGGAACTTGTTCATGTGAACTTATAGCAATGGTGACAGCATGCATAAGACCCATTGTTGCATAGTGCTGTCCTCCAACCAGCAAGCTATGGATAGATGCCTTCTTCCCAAGCTTGGTTGCATCCATTTGCCTAGGATCATCACAAACTTGTTGACTGTTGATTCTCTGCAAGAAAGGAGGGGCAAGGACAGTCAGCCACATCTCCCGATCAACCAGCTGGTTGGCCCTAGTTGCATGAGGGGAGTGACTAAGGGTTTATAGTGGAGGAAGCCATAGGGAGGGGTTTGTAGAGTTCTGCACAACTGTGGGGAGGTCCCGATCCATGCCTGGGTGGACACTTTCCAGTGTGGCCTTATGGAGGAGCACCCATACTCCTGTAAGTAAACCCTCACCCACTGACCTTTAAGTAAGCCCAATAAACTCACTTGTTTGGTGAAACTGTACCTCAGTTTGCCATAGGGACGAACGGAGGAGGGGGCCAGACATCATTTGTGCCTCCCAGAAGAAATTTTAGCAACACCCATGCATACTCAATCAGACAAAAACCAGCACAGAGCTACAGATATCCCCAGTCTTAGCTGAAGGACTATTGGCAGCTGATCAATGAGGGATGAGGGAGAGTCAATCTTCTTTAAGGAGTGACAGTAGACAGGCTGACCAGGCTCCAGTGGATGAACTCACACCAACAGACATCTGGAGACACAGACTTGATTTGACAGGCTTTAAAATATAGGAAAGAATGCATGAAATCCTATGTAGGGCTGCAGGTAGGGGAGGGGATCTAAATATTAAGAAGTATTGTATGAACGCACAAAAATTCAATAAACATATACACTGAAAAATGTATGTATGTATGTATGAATGAATGAATGAATGAATGAATGAATGAATGAAAATGAATGAATGAAAATTATGTTTAGGAGTAAAAAAAGAGACCAGCATCATTGAAGTAAAATCTCCAGGGAAGCATTTCCTTAGGGTCAACACACAGAAGCTGTGGTACAGAGGGGCCTGGAGCGCCACCTCAAGCTGGCAGCAGATTTGGCCACACTCCCAGGTGGAACTGATGTTGAAGGCAATTGTGAAGGGGTCATGGAGAGAATCTGAGGCTTGGTATCCTGAGAGGCCAAAAGAGGCTATTGGTGAAAATACAATTGCAATAGAGACCCCAGCATATTTGGAGATGCCAGGACCATGGGACAACCACCAAGGCCAGTGGCAGGTGTGGGGCAGAACCATCTTGAACCTATGAGACAAGCTGTGTGAAATGTGGATGGCAGAGCCAGAGAAATGGAGCTGAATGAGTCCTTTGGATCCCAGAATCATGACTGAATTCCAAATGCCCAACATTGAGCTACACTGCTGGATTTTGTATTTATTTAACTTTGCCCAGTTCTTCCCTATTGGAATAAGACAGTATGTAACTTGACTTGGATTTTACAGGCACCCACAGCTAAGAGACTTATAAAGAGACACTGAACTTTTAAAGTATTGGAAGTTTTAAGGACTGTGGGACTTTTAAAGTTGTGCTGTTTTATACTGCAACATTATTAACACGAGATCTTACAGACAAGAAATGGAAAGATTATGTTTAATAGTGATATGTTTGTGTGTCAAGTTGACAAGGGATCAACTGTGCTGGATAGCGTTAGTGTCAACCTGACACACCTGGAAGGAGGCACCCTCCATTGGGGGTGTTTCCTCTATTGGATTGGTCTGTGGGCATGAGTATGAGGCATTTTCTTGATTGTTGAGTGATGTGGGATGGTCCAGCCCACTGTGGGCTGTGCCACCCCAGGGAAGGTAGTTCTATGTTATATAAGAACACAGGTTGAGCACAGGCCAGGGGAGAAACCATTGAACAATGTTCCTCATAGCCTGCTTCAGTTGCTGCCTCCAGGTTCCTGCCCCAGCTTTCTCAAGGATGAGCTGTAGTTAGCATGTGTAAGTCCAATAAACCCTTTCCTCCCCAAGTTGGTTTTGATCAGTGTTTTATCACAGCTATAGAGAAACCAAGCTAGGACAGTATGTCATTAACTTCAAGCTGTCTCTTTCCTTAGTTGCCCTCTCTCCTATGTCCTTCTCTTTCCTGGGATTACGGAGCTGCCAGCGCCCAGACTGGCTCACTTCCAGCTGCTGAACCTCCCCCTAGGTGGAGCAAGGTGGATATGAAATTGGAACCAGGTCTGGTTTGGCTGCATCTAAAGGCGATGGAGACTAAGACAGCCCTAATCCACCCACTGTCAGACCCAAAGAACTGACACGAAAGAAAGAAGCTGAGCCTCTTGTTTTGTCTCCAGCAGTATTTATTGGAAACAATAATGCTTCCCAGGATGAGAGTTTATACATTAAGCAGTAAGGTTTGCCTTTCACTCCACATGATCCACTACCTCAGGGGGCGTATCCAAGGCAGCACATTAAACCTCTGAAAGAATCTGTACAGCTAGATAAATAGAACTCTGAGTACCTAACAGGACTTCCATGACTGAGAAAGAAAACAAACAAAACAAAATAACAACTCTGATAAGTTTACACAGCACTGCATAGACAAAATGAAGATGGGATAGAAGGGTGAGGCATTAAAGTAATGACAGAAGTGGAAAGGAGATTTTCATATGCAGCCACATACCTTAAACCACTAAGCACAAAAATCATCTTTATTTGGTCCTCATTGAGGGCAGAATATGCACAAACAATGTTCAAGGAACACACACAGGGCATAAAGTGGAAAGGTGCAACCATCACTATTCTGTGAAGTGGTGGGAAATGGTTACTAGTGTTTCTCTGCTTAACTCTGAGCCAAATGGACTCAGGGAATGTATTAATTCATAAACAGAACTGAAGGGAAGATAGTTGTTCCCCCTTCCCATACCTTTCAGAAATGATCTAAATATACACATGACTTCTGTACAGCAAGGAATTCATGTCGAAAACCAGACCTGTTCCCAATTCATCCTAACTGAGAATTTTCTCTTTTCAGACAATGTACCAACTGCTCACCTGCTCACTCAGAAATGAATAGGGCTCCTGGCCCTGCCCAGTGCTTTAATAGCAGGGAAGGAAGAAAACTGGCTATATCCCAGGAACAGGCATAAATAGAGGAACTAAGGTGCTTTGGACAATTGGTACTTTTCTACTGATGGCATCAAGAGACTAAGTTGCTTAGATCAGTAGATAATTGGCTGGTGAGGGTTGTTTTCTTCAAGAATTCTGTAACTCACATATTTGGGAAAGGAAAGTGTAAAAGAAAACTTTCTTCTGTGTAAATGGAAAACTTGAGACCTTGAGATGGTCCCTGGGTGACAGACAATATCTTCAGTTTGGGATGGTTGTTCTGTGTTGTGGCTCATGGTCATAGTCTAAGAAACCACAGCCTCCTGAGACTGTGTAAACAGCAGTTCTGGGACAACTGGCTAGTCTCAGATGGTGTTTGGAAGCACATGCCAGGCCCACTGGGCTTGGAAGATACCATCCATCACCATGCCTCCTCTGGGAATACACAAGCCAACCCAAGACACGTATGGGCTTGATGACTTGGTCCACTGCGGCCTGCATTCAAGGTGTGTTGTAAGCAGCATTACCAAAGCAGTGGTTAAACGTAACTATCTGGGTCAAAAGGAGGTGAGCCAGCCAGCACAGCATCCTAATGGGGCAGAGCAACCAGAATTTCTACATAATTGATGGGGAAAAAGCCAGACTGGCCATGCAGCATCCCCTCATACCAGTTCTCATCAATCTGATTGGTGAGTGTGATAATATCACCCTCTTTAAAGCCCAGTTCCCCTTCATTTTCAGGTTCAAAGTCATAAAGGGCTCGGCAGCAGGGCTGATCCATTTGGACACCTGAGAATAAGACAGAACATGAAAGGTCACAGAGCATCTAACTGACAGTGCCTACTGCCTGCTGCTTTCTTTTCCCCTTCTTTCCTCCCGGCTGAAACTGCCTCTTCCTCCAGTTTCCACTGTGAGGGCATCTTGCTTCCTACCAGTGTCCTGTTAGATTTTCAGGAGTTGTTGGACATTTCTGTTTTCTATTTCCAGCTTGAAAAGTGATCATATGCATTCTTGTGCTAAGCACAACAGAGTTCATTAAGTTTATCTTCCTGACAATGTCCAGAGATGGGAGACCAGTGACTTAGAGTTTACAATGAATGAGAGTTAACAACAGGCACAGCCAAAATCCATTCATGTTAGCACTTTTAAATGTCTGTACATTCAAAATAGTATAGTTAATTGCACAAAAAATACTGGGAAACCTCAGAATAATAGGTTAGTTCTCTCTCTTCAGAATACCAACTCTACACTCCAGAAAACTGCTGTGAGGGAACAAAACACTATAAAACACTAGCCTTGAGTTCTTTTTCTGTGTGATCTGGCTCTAAGCATTTTATGCTGTTTCTCTGTCTAAAACTGGAATCAACAGAATTTTCTTCATACTGTTAAGTCTATTAAATGAGATGATGTAAAGAAAAGTCATGTAACATATTCGATAAGTTGTTGCACATATAAACACAAATACTGTGTGAGAGCTACAGCACACAAGAATCATGAAATCTGCCTTGCACAAATTAATAAAGGATGAAACTCTATGTCTATATGTATCTATTTAGAAATGAGTAAATATAATAATACAGTATGCACATACATGAATACAGATAAGTGTATATGGGTCTGGACTAACTAGATGTCTTAAAGGAAAAGTGTAACTTAATTTGAGTCAGAGAAATCAAGTTAAAAATGAAATACGGCAAGTTTCTGGACAAGGAGAAGTATAGTCATAGATAATTTACATGACTGGTCATGACAGGCAGCTAACTTCAGAGTCACTGCTGTGTGGGCCCCACACTGGGTACTCAACTGTGGAGAGAACGCCACCTGCTGGCTCATCATAGCCTAGCAGCCTCTATAAAAAGGTTTTTACTGCAGTATATATTTAGCACAAGGGGTATAGAGAAAAAGGGATAAACTTGCATGTCTTTAAAATCCATATCCAGTGTCAGGTGGATTCCCACTTCTATAATCAAATTCATACTTGGAAATGTCTGAAAAGCAAGCTTTGGTCTAATTTTCATGTAGGTGTAGGATGTGATCATGGCAATGGAGAGAATGCATTAGTGGGCACATATATCAATATTCCGAAGAGAAGAAAGTTTTCATTATGCCTAGCTCCAGTCACACTTAATGAACTGTTTGGGGTGGGGAGCAGAAAAGGACACCTAGCAGTGTTGAGGTTTGAAAGCTATCCATCTGCAAATGTATTCAAACAGCTGCTCCTGGGGCGGCTGTGAGTGCTATGGGACGCATGTGGGCATGCACTGTCCAGGGATATTCGTCCCATGCTGAGTAGATTCACAGGACAGAAAGGCAGAAGGAAAGATGGTATCTCCAGTGCCTAACTGCTGAGTTGATGCGATTTGCAATCACAAAGAAGGGGTAAAGAGCAAACATGACAGTTTGGCGGTCCATGTGTGCTGACGGCTCAGCATGAGAGAAAAGGGGAGTGCTAAGTCCCACAGACAAGGAAAGGGAAGCAAGTCAGTCAATGAAGCAAGGATAAACGGTTCCATTAAGAATCTTTACCTGACAAACCATCCCCTGAGAGATGGATCACAGTTGTCGTGCGGGCACACTGGACTGCTGTCAGAATTTCTGAGCACTGTCTATGGGGCGCCCAACACCCAGGTGAAGGAATCTATGGCCTAAGCGCCTTACCTGCTGGTTTGGGTGTGCCCGTGTGGGAGAGACCGCCATTGGGCTGAGTACTGTCTCCAGTGGAAAACTCTAGGCTCATTCGTGGTTTTGGCTGATACTCCCTTCTTGGCTGAGATGAAGCCTGTCTTATTCTATATCAACAAGAAAAGGGGTGATGAGAGGATTATTTAGTTAATTGAAAATGTGAAAAAAGTAATAAAGTCCAGCAACTGCTTGGGGTCACTTACCAATATTCTACAGTGTACTGTTCTCCAAGCTTTGTTCTCTCAACTTAGGGTTTATGGAAATACAATCTTAATTGGTCAAGCACACCTGTATTATAATGCAGGGTCACAGCACATATCCATGAAGGTTGTGCCCCACATTTCTATTCACATAGAAAACAACTATAGCTTGTGGTGATGTTTATCTAGGGCACATGTCTGAGCACTGTCAGCTTTATTATCATTGAAAAAAAACCAAACAAGATGTGAAAAGAACATGGGCTTCCAAATAGGTTACGCTTTATTGTGCGCCCCAGCTGCGCCACTATGTGAGATTCTCGATCCTCATTTCACCTCCCTGAACCCCAGTTTACTCATCTGCTAGGTCTACAGGGCTGTTTTAAATTGATCATATGCATTTGGTACCCACACAGATTATATGCTCAGCAAATCACATTCACCATCATCTGAAGCATCCTGTATACTATCTGTGGCAGAAATAATCTACACATCCTTCTTCCATAAATCCAAGTCTAGTTTCAAAAGAAAGTAAAACAAAGCACAAGACAAAAATCAAAGCAAGCAATCCACAAGGTGCCCGCAAAGGATCATCCAGGATTTGGGCAGAAATTGATCTCCAAACACATTTCGTTATTTTCATTTCTTTGCACATCACTTCGTATCAATAGAGCACAGCTGAGAAACTTGGGCGAACTGTAACTTACCTTTCCTCCAGTCTGACAGTGACTTGCTGCAGGATCTGCACTGCCTGTTTGTGGTACTCCAGCTGGGCTTGTACAAGTGCAGAGAGCTGGCTCACCTGCTCAATCTGTAGATGGATGGGGAAATCACACCTCGGTTAGCAGGTCATTGCTCTGAAGCGGCTACTACTGTTGCATGCACACAGCAGTACTTTCCCCAACACACAGCCCAAGTGTTGATGAGGCTGATGACTGTGTAGCAAGTCACGCTAACACACACAGTTCTATAGGTTTCTGGTTGATTAAGGATAAGAGAGCATCCTTATGCTTGGAACCCTGTATGTTGTATGATGAGAAGAAGCAACATTAGTAATTATCATTGAGAGGATCACATTGTTTTCTTTAAAGATGTTCATACATAATTATAAACCTAATTGCTAGGTTTCCTTCACCAATACCCTTAGGAAAAAGATTTGCTGGCCAAAGGACGCTTTGTTCCCTGACTGCAGGAGCCAATACACAACCCAAACATCGCTTTTCATGCTAATAACTGCTTTTAGTGAAAAATGGGAAAATTGATGCCTCACTTCAGGCACCATGGGATGCAGAATAGTATGGTAGAACATTTCTTGACCTCTTAGCTTGACCTGTAATCTAATGGGGTCAGATACAATCCAGTGGCATTTAAAGTTCATTCCAGCTCTAACAGTCTAAGCATCCTTAGTTTTGGAGTCTTGTGCTGTGTTGATGTAGCTGAGTAGAGGCCTCCAAGTCACCAAAGATAATGAATGTTGGCCCATGAGTCTGAGGGTGAGGGTAGGACCTAGGGTTTAAGAAAGCATGCTAATTCAGGTTTCCCACAGTATTGCACTTGAGTAGTTAAAGCTGTCTGTAGATAAACCTGTACTGTCTCTGGGTGGTGGGAAGGACCACACATGTTTAACATGCCTCCCCTGCCAATCAATGTAAGTAATGTGATGACTAATTTTAGGTGACAACATGACTGCTTTAAAGGACACTCAAACAGCTACCAAAGCATTATCCCTGCACATGTCTGTGGAGGTGCTTTCAGACAAGACGCACATTTGAATCAGAGAACTTAATGAGGAGGTTCTGCTCTTATCTAATAAGGTAGGTTCAATTCAACCCATTGAGAGCCCTCTCCTGGGGACTGGACACACAGGGGTCAAAGCTTCTGGTTCTCTAGACTTGGACTCTAGAACTCAGACCAGTAGCTCCCCACCTCTGCTCAGTTCTCTGGCCTATGGTCTCAGAATGAGTTAACCCATCAACTCCACTGCTTCTTAGGCCTTTGGACTTGGCCTGAGCCATGTTACCAGTGTCCCTGGTTCTCCAACATTTTAAACTCAAAGTTTTCCTCTATTGATTTTTAAAATTATACCGAAATTTTTGTAATTTCCATACAACAATATTTGATATTATTTAGATTCCTTCCCCTACCTGAACCTCTGTCTGCTGCCCCCCACCCAGTTCAATATACTTCACTATATATACAATACAACCTATAGAGTCTGATTTGTATCCTCACATATCCTTCAGCATGGATCCATTCACTGTAGCCTGGACAAGGACCAAGAGTCCCATCCCTGTAAGAGACAGTCTCTCTTCAAGCCCCCAGCAGCCATCAGTTGCCAAAAGTTCCTTAGGTTGGGATGTTTCTTTTTAAACCCACTTCCCCATGTCTATGATGGGATTTTGTCTGGTTTAAGATTGCATGGATTTGTGCATGCTGTCACCGCTGCTGTGAGATCATGTGAATAACTGACCAGCTGTCTGGAAAACTATTTCCCTGTGGTCATCCAACACCCCTGGCTCTTACAATCTTTCTGTCCCCTCTTCTGCAATGATCCCTGAGCCTACTAAGGTAGAACCATGAAACAGATGTACTAATAAGAGGGGAGAATACACAGCCTCTCGTTCTAGTCACATTGGCCAGCTGTGGGTTTCTGTGTTAATCATTATCTGCTGCATAAGGAAACCTCTTTGGATAAGAATTGAGAGATGCATTAATTTATGTGTAGAGGTTACACTAAAGATGTGGCATTTAGGGCTGAAGATGTATATTTAGACTACAGTAAGAAATTATATTGATCTAGGGATATGGCAAAAGTAGGTTTTTCTCAAGGATCTATGATGTCTCTAGTCATGTGTATTTGGCTATGTTTACAGTACCACACAAAAGTTCACTCCCATTGAGCAGGACTTAATTCCAAGTAGACAGCTGCTGACTGTCCCCAAGAGAAAAGTGCCACTACTGCACCAACAGAGATAGTTTGCTGGGCCACTCACTGTTGTTTCTTAGACTTTACAGTTTGTATTACTTCACTTAGCAAAACAGTTTCTAGTTCCATCCATTTACCTGCAAATTTCATAATTTCATCTTTTCTTACTGCTGAGTAGAACTCTAATGTTTACCACATTTTCATTATCCATTCATCAACTGAGAGATACTAGGTTGTTTGCATTTCTTAGCTATTGTGAAAAGAGCAACAACAAATATGGCCGTGAAAGCATCTGTGTAGGAGGATGAGTTCATCTGGGTGTATGCCAAGGAGTGGTGTAACAAGATCACATGGTAGATTTATTTTCAGCTGTTTGAGTTTTCCATACTGATTTCCACGGTTTGCAATCCCACCAACAGTAGGTGAGGGTTCTCCTTTCCTTGATCCATGCCAGCATGTGGTGTCATTTGTACTCTTGGTCTTGGCCATTCTGACTGGGGTTAGATGAAGAAATCTTAAAGGAATTTTGATTTACATTTCTTTAATTACTAAGGATGCCGAACACTTTCAAAGGTGTTTCTTAGCCATTTTATTGCTTCTTTGCATAGCTCTCTGCTCAGATCCACAGCCCACTGTTTAATTAGGTCATTTGATTTCTTGCTTTATCAATTGTTGACGTTAATTCCTGAATGACTGAGGTTTAGTTTAAAAAGTTCAGAATCTGATTTAAAAAGTCCGATCACGCACCTATGTCTTGTAGGGCACTGCCTATGTATTCTCCTAACAGTTTCAGCATTTCTGGCTTCACATTAAGAGGTCTTCAATCCATTCGTGTAACCAGATGTCCCTCAATGTGAGTTCATCCACTGGAGCTTGTTCAGCCTGTCTAATGTCACTCCCTTAAAAAAGATCAACTTTCATTCACCAAGCATTGATCAGCTGCCAATAGTTCTGCAGCTAAGGCTGGGGCCTCCTGCTCACTTCCTTAGTTCTACGCTGGTTTTTGTCAGATTGAGTTTGCACGGGTCCTGTGCATGCTGTCACCATGTTGTAAGTTCATATGAACAAGTTCCCAGAAGCCTGGGGGACTATTTCCTTATGGTCATGCACAACCTCTGGCTCTTAGAATCTTTCTGCTCCCTCTTCTGTGCTTAGAGCTATAAACTTCCCTCTTAGATTTGCCTTTAACGTGTCCCAGAGGTTTTGTTATCATTTCATTTCAGTTCCAGGAATACTTTTCTTTCTTTCTTGATTTCGTTTTTGACCCATTCATCATTCAGGAGTATGCTACTTATAATCTCCATGAGATCATATAGTTACTAGAGTTTCTTTTGCTGTTGATTTTAAGCTTTATTGCATTGTAATCTGACAAAATGCATGGAATTATTTCAATTCTTTCGTATTTGTTGAGGTTTGTTTTGTTCTCCAATATGTGGTCTATTTTAGAGAAACTTCCATGTGTATTCTTTGGTGCTTGGCTGGAATATTCTGCAGATGCTGTTAGGTCCATTTGATGTATGATATTTAATTCAGATGTTTCTCTGTTTAATTTTTGTTTAGTAGATCTGTTTATTGGAGAGACTTGAGTATTGAAGTCACCTAGTATTACTGAGTTGGGGTTAATCTGTGTCCTGAAGTCCTGTAGTAGTGTTTTATGAAACTGGGTGCACCAGAGTTTGGTGCTTATATATTCATGATTGTAATGCCTTCTTGGTCAGAATGAAGTAACCTTTTCTCTTCTGATTAACTTAAATATGAAGTCTTAAATATGAAGTCTATTTTGTCAGATATTAGAACCATCTGCTTGTTTCTTGATGTCATTTGCTTTGAATATTTTATTCCATACTTTTACCCTAAGGTGGTACCAATCCTTGAAGATGAGTTTCTTATAAGAAAAAAAGAGATGGATTTTATTTTTTAATCTATCCAACTAGCCTATGTCATTTTGACTGGAGAATTGAGGTCATTGATATTTAAAGTTATTATTGAGAGATGTGTATTGGATATTGTCATTTTAATTTGTGTTTTTGGTCATATTTTGTGTCTGTAATTTTGTTTTCTTTCTGTAACCTCTTGGGTATGGTCCTTCCTTTCTTCAGTCCTCTGTATTGCTCTGAGTAGTCTCTGTAGGGCTGGCTTGGTGGACACGAATTCTTTCGGCCTATTTGTATCATGGGAGATTTTTCTTTTGCCTTTGACTATGATAGACAATTTTTCTGGGTAAAGTATTCTAGGTTGGCAGAATTTGGAATATTCCGTCCAGGCTCTCTGGAATTTTATAGTTTGCACTGAAAAGTCAGCTGTAACTCTGATGGCTTTTCCTTTATGTGTCACCTGCTTTTCGTTCACAGCTTCTAGTATGTTGTTGTTGTTGTCTCTACACTGGGTGCTTTTACCATGATGCAGCACGGGGAGTTTCTGCTCTAGTCCTGTTTATTTGGTCTTCTGTGTGCTTTGTATCTGTATGGGTATGTCTTTCCTGAGTTTGGGGAAATTTTCTCATATAAATAATCCTGTTGAAGAACTGGTCATTGCTGTTGAACAGTTTTTTTTTCCTTCCTCTATGCCTGTGATGAATAAATTTGGTCTTTTCATGGTGTCCCACATTTCCTGCAAATTTTGTTCCTGTGTTATTTAAAATTTCTCATATTGTTTGCTTGAGCAGTTCAATTCTTCAACTTTATCGAGTCTTGATATTGTTTTTCATTTCATTCATTCTGTTGGTGAGGCTTTTTCTTGTCTTTTCCTGTTGGCTTACTGAGGTGTTCAGTTCCCTCTTCATTTCAGCTTCAGTTTTCCCCAATATTTCTCTCTTTCATGAATTCACTTTTCTTTTGGGGGGGATTATCACTAAAATTATTTAATGTCTACAATATTTTCCTGAGAACCTTGGAAATTCTGCCAGTTTCAGTTCTATCATACGCATAGGTCTGAAGCATTTGTTCTTGCCAAAATGAGTTTAGTTTATGTTGGGTTTTTTAATGTTATCTCTTGATCCTTAATGTTTAAGTTCCTGTGGGTGATAATTGACCACATATAATCTTCTTTTTTACTGAATTACTTCAGAGACTATTATCAAGTACCACAACTGGTCACATGCAGACATTGTCTATGAATTGCCCAGGCCTAAACCTCTACACTTAAGGCTCATGAAACATAGAACAGGGATAATGAAGGACACTAAGGGACCTCTCAGTTCTCAATAATGAAGCTTCCTCATGCTGCAGAGAGCAGGAATACAAAGGTCACAAATAGCCCAATGTGTAGAGATCAAGAGTCTGCTGAATGCTGGTCCTTAGACAGGATCCCTTTATTAAACTTCTCCCACCCAAGGCTCAGGGACCATCTTGAAAGGGTGCGGGCAGTAGGAAGATTATAAGAGCCAGGGAGCAGGTGCATGACCATATGGAAACAGAGTCCTACAAGGTCCTGGGAACCTGTTCATACGATTCTATGGCAATGGTGTCAACATACACAAGTCCCATGCAAACTCAGGCAGACAATAACCCAGCATAGAACTAAGAAAATGAATAGCAGACCTCAATCTTAGCTGAAGGAATGCTGGCAATTGATTGCTGCTAGATGAAGAAGAGCTGATCTTCCTAAAACAAGGGACTCTAGATAGGCTGACTAGCTTAGTAGATGGACTTCCACTGGGGAATGGCTGGGGACACTGACAACTCAGTGAGCTTTACAGGGATGACCAAGTATATGGGCTCCAGTCAGGGGTGGGGGGTGGGGGGACTATGGGAGGGTGCCAGTGGGATGGGTGTATAAAGATGATTAAGATGACCTGAATTCACTTTTCAAATACTGAGCTGTCTTTGTCATTTCATTCTTCTGTCCATTTGTACTTTCTTCTGCTTTTGTCAGGGCTTTATCTCCATCCTCTTCGAGTTCTTGAGTTTTTATGTGTTCTTTAAATTCACTGAATTCTTTGATCATGTTTATAATTGTTCTTTTAAATTCGGTCTCCCGGGGTTCCTGTAGGTAGTTCTCATAGAACACTTCAACAGGACTGTGGGGTTTGGTGGGGACATATTGTTTTGGTTTTCATATTTGTGTGTTTTAGTTGTGGTTGGGCACATGGGTTTCTTTTGTTCATTGTGTATCTGCTGTGAAAGTCAGGCCTGCCTTTGCTGAGTTGAAGTTTGATTCTGTTGATACTGCTGCTGTAGCTTGGTTGTTTTCCTGTCGGGTATGAAGAGTCAGTTTGTCTATGCTTCAGGTTCTCTTCTTGACTTTCTACTATGGGGGGTGTCTGACTCTTCCAGCTATTCTGGTACTTGCTGGCAGCTTCAGCAGGAAGGGGCCAAGGCCCAAGGAGACCAGGTGGAAACAGACGGGCTAGTTCTTACTAGAGAGCAGAGGAGGAATGAGTTATGGTGCAGTGGGATGGGGGTGGTCTCAAAGCAGGGCATTGGGTGCAGTGGTGGGATCTACGTAACTCACCGCACCTAGTCATTCTTCTGTAGCCTCAGCAGGAAGGGGCCAAGGCCCAAGGAGAGGGTCTCCAACATTTATAGGATGTGTATGTAACACTTCTGAGTCTCAGTAGTCTTTCTAATAAACAGTTTCTCTGATAATCCCTTCTCCCATCTCTATCTCCAGCCAGCTATGTCTATCTCTGTCTATACACTCTCATGGCTTTGCTTCTCTGCAAATTCCTGACTAATGGAAGCAAGGACTACATAAAACCTATAAAAATCCAAGCAGAGTGTCAACAACTGATGGGTTAGTAGGCATATGAATAAGGATGGGGAAACTGGCTTTTCAGGTCTCTCTACATAAGTAGAGTAAGGAAGAGCTCAACAAAACTTAATGTTCAAAGCCATGAGTGACAATTTAGTATTCTGGAGATGTGAACACAGCTTTAAGCCACCCAAACTCTGCCCTGAATATAATGGCTACATATAGACACTATAATCATCTATTTCACTACAATTTTTTTGTTTTTAATGAAAATGTCAACCTTACTTTCACAAACAATCCTCATTATTTCATATACTGAAGTTCTGAATATTTTTGTTAGTCTTACATAATTGCAAGTCAATATGCTATATATTTAATTAAGAGTGGCTTTTTTTACTATATATTTTTATTGAATTTTTGTGTATTTCATGCAGTACATCCTCAGCATATTTGGACCCCCTTCCCTGTCTGCACCCACCTCATTTCACACAATCCCCCAACAGATTTCATGCATTCTGTCATATATATTAAGGGCCATCATGTTTGTGTCCCCAGATGTCCCTTGGTGTGAATTCATTCACTGGAATCTGGTCAGCCTATCTAGCATCAGTCCCTTAAAAGAAGTCCAACTCTCCCTCAACTATCAGTGACCAGCTGCCAAAAGTTCCTTAGCTAAGGTTGGGGCTTCCTGCCCATTTTACCACTTCTATGCTGAGTTTTTGTCTGGTTTGAATTTACAGCAACGGTGACAGCATGCATAAGACCCATGTAAACGCAAACCAGAGTAGTTAAGTGTTGGATTTATACACGGACTACCACATTCTTTATCTCTGTACTACTAGTATACTTTAAGATTCATTAATAAACAAAATTGTAGTTAAATCAAGCTATAGGAATTCAGGAAATAAACTTACCATTTCTAAGTCTACTTTATGACAAATTATTCAAAAGAAGTAGCCAACTATGTATTATCACATAGTATAATCAGACAGTAGCATTTAAAATGCTTTATATTTTAACATCACTCTTGTGCCTTAACAATAAAATTAAACAATACACAAGAGAGTAGCTTACATCCATCTCTAAGAGATTGAACATGCTTGACTCAGCAATTTCTTTAGATTCATCAAATTTCTCCAGAGCCTGACGAAGTTCTTCATCAGGAATCTTGCCTTGTCGTTTCTTCTTATAATCAAAGTCCAGGCGTCGGCCTTCCAGCTTCTTCAGATGATGCTGGAAAAAAAAAATCAAGGGCAGGGATATGGTAGGAGACGACTTATGGAAGCTCTGCTTGCAGCTCATTTCTCTCTCATTCCTATTAGCCTCCAAAATAAGACAGGCTCTGTTTGAAACAGCATGTCACCAGAAAAATGAAGACGCATGCATCAGTGAGGCAGATGCTTCCAAAGGCTAACTATGGAAGGGCATCTTTAAAAATATTTCAAAATGGGGGTTGGAAGGATGCCTCAGTGGTTAAGGGCACTGACTGCTCTTGCAGAGGCCCCAGGTTAGGTTCCCAGCACCTACTTGGTGGCTAACAACCATCTTTGATTCCAGTTCCAGGGGATCTGACACTCTCTTCTGGCCTCTACAGGCAGCTGCATGACATGGATGCATGGACACAACACTTGTAGGCAAAGCACTGATACACATAATACTAAAATCAGTAAATAAAAAATAATTTAAAATTTCAGAATGAGAAAGAAATTGTGGGGAATAAGACTGTTACTTTCTGACTTTATCGGCCAAAGCCATGCTAGACTATGCCTTTTCCTCAAGTTATAAGAAGGTACCCTCCCCATATTCAAAGGACAGACAAACAGACCCCCTTCCCACCAAGTCTTCTTTCTCCAAAAGAAATGGAATCTCAGGAGAACGGAGAGAAAAAACCCATTTCTCTGAGGTAAAGGAAGGAAAAATGGCATTCTTCCTTTTTGACTAACCTACTTTATTAGAGTTACTAATATGCTTAATAAAAATATAGATTCTTAATTATTTCAATCAGAATATCCAAGGCTGGACCTAAAAATCTGTATCTGAACACTTATCCTATATGCAAGAAGCAGCTTTCTGAAAACTGCTGATTTAGCTTATAGCTTCTCTATGACAGGTCTCAAGTCACAAACCCTAAAAGAAGGGACCTTGCAAAAGATGTCATTAAATGTTCCTTCACTGAGCTTCAATCCCTCGCTGTACGATCTGCAGTAAGGGTCTAGACTTTCTAGAAGGCTATTAAAAAGCTTTTTTTTCTTAATAGCTGCAATATTCCATGGCTAACAGGCAGGAGAAAATAATTTTTCTGTTGTTCCTGAGTTTGTACAGAGTAGGAAGGAAAGGGATGAAAACAGAATCAGGAGTGGTAAGAAACTGAGGAGGAAAGGAGGACAGACTTTTCCTCCCACCGCATCCACTATGCCCAACTCATGCTCCTATCCCAGCTAAACATGGGTTCTTTTGGAAGGAATGTTATCTTGAAGCATTTGAGTTTATAGCCAGTTAGAGACAAAACCAGTTGAATTTATCAGAAATAGCTCAACTGTTTTATGTTTTAGAAAAGGTAGTTATTCCTCCTTGATCCCAACAACAATCACTAAAATATAAAAACACGTGCTTAAGAGCACTACAATAACTATGTATTTAAGTTAACAAAAAGCACAACCACTATTTTGGGGTCACCTCAGCCCAGCCCATTATTCATTTTCTCAGGTACAGGACAAGGACATAACTTCTGGAGGAAAAACTGTTGGGCAAAACTACTGAATGTGGAAATTTACACAGGGCAATCAAACAGAATGCTAAGAGCAGCATGGTTGTGGGCTGAAGGGCATTCTCTTTCTGGTTTCTTTTAAATGTGTCTCATGGGTTGTTTGAAATTTATGTGCCCAGTGCTGAGCAAGAATGGTGACCCAGAAAATGCTGTTAAAGGAAATGAAAATCTGCATCTGTCCAGAGGACTATGTGCACAGACCTGAATTTCCCTCAGATCTTTGTCATGAAGATTCTGAAGGGGGTCAATAAAGTTCTGCTTCACTTCCATGTCCAAAGAGTCCTTCACCTCCGAGAGTTCCCTCATGGCCTCTCCTACCTCACCAAGGGCTGGACCTGAGAGAGGAGAATGAAAGTCTTACACCTTGACAAACAAAGATGAGGTGGCTTTGCAATACTGCACCTTCACAGATGACAAGGTAAGGACTGTGCCTTTTAAAGACAACGGAGACCAAGAAGGAACAGAGTGCTTTCAAGACAACAGTAGCTTTTATACTTACTGCAGTTCATCCTGGATACCGGCACCATGGCCCTCATAAGGAAGAATATCCTTCATTATGACAAACACAATATTTTCCTTAAAGGGAAGTCTCTCTGCCTTCCATGATAAGTACCAGTTTCAGTCCAATGTTTTTAGTAGAAGCAGATACCAAGAATGGGGACCAAAGACCCAGGAAGTTCCCATATCATAAAGAAAGCAAGTGTACAGTTTCCTGAGAGCCAGAGGAGAGGAAAGAATAATAAATAATGTCTTTCCTGGAGCCGTGGGATTAGAGACTGCAATGGAGAGCTTAGGTTATTAACTTAACACTCCTGGGAAGAGGGAACCTCAATTTGGAATTTCCTCTATTGGACTGGCCAGTAGGCATGTCTGCGAGGCATTTTCTAGATTGCTGAGTGATATGAGAGGGCTCAACCTACTGTGGGTGATGCTTCCACTGGGAAAGCAGGCCTGGGTTCTTTAAGCAAGCAGGCAAAGCACAGGCCAGAGGAGCAATCCAGTAAGCAGTGCTCCTTCATGCTCTCAGTTTTACCTCCTGTCCCCAGGTTCCTGTTCTGCTTGAGCTCTTGCCTTGGCTTTTCTCAACAATGAACTATGATGGGGAAGTGTAAGCCAAACAGACCTTTCCTTTCCCAAGCTGCTTTTGGCCAGAGTGTATCATCACAGCAACAAAGAAACTCACTAGGACAGAGACTGGTACCAGGATAGTGGTTCACTGGTATGAAGAACCTGACTATTTTGGTTTGGGGAGGATGGTAGAAGTGTTTGGAACTTCTGGCTGGAAAAGCTGTTGAGTGCGTGGAGCTTAGTGAGTTATTCTGTGGGAGCTTGAAAAATGAAGATGATGCAGCCTGGCCAAGGGCTGTGAAGTTTCAGAGGGAAGTGTGAGAGTCCCTCAAAGACTAAATTCAGCCATTGTGTGATACTTTGAGTTGCAACTCTGGTTTTCTGGTTTGCTGGGGCTGAAGAATCCACTGTAATCAACAAGAGACCAGCAGCACTGAAGGGAAACCTTTGTTTTATTGGGACAATCAATGCTGGTTAGCGGCAAAATCAAAAAAGTCATGGAGAGCCTTGGCATCTTGACAGGCCAAGAGAGGCCATTAGTGAAGGTGCAGCCTCCACTCTAGTCAAAATCCCCAGGACTGAAGGGTCATGGAAAGAATTCCAAACTTGGCATCATGAGAGGCCAAGTGTAGCCTCAGTTACAGTGGCGAGCTCAGCATACTGGAGATACCAGGACTGTGGGATGACCACCAAGGGCAGCCGCAGATGTGCAGTGGAGCCAGCCTGAGCCTATGAGACAAGCTGTGTGTCCTGTGAATGGCAGAGCCAGAGAAGTGGAGCTGCCCAAGCCTTTTGGAACCCAGAACATCATGAGTGAACCCCAGATATCAGACACTGAGCTGTTTACACTGTTCTGTTTTGGTTTTACTTTGAACTGATTGTGCCCTGGTTCTTTCTCTTGGAGTAAGAAGCATTTACTTGTTTTATACTTTATAGGTGTCAAGAGACTTTGGGTTATTTAAAACAGATATTGAGCTTTTAAGGCACTGGAATTTTTAAGGAGTGTGTGACTTTTAAAGTTGTACTATGTTTTATATTGTGATATTAGTATTAACATGAGATCTTGGGGACAAGAAATGGAAGGGATATAGTTTAATAGTGATGTGTTTGTGTGTCAAGTTGACAAGGGGTCAAGTGTGTTGGATAGCTTCAGTTGTCAACCTGACACACTTGGGAAGAGGGACTCTCAACTGGGAAATTGTTTCTATCCGACTGGCCTGTGGGCATGTCTGGGAGGCATTTTCTTAATTGTTGAGTGATGTGGGAAGGGCCAGCCCACTCTGGATGATGCCAGCCCTGGGCAGGTGGTCCTGGGTTGTGTTAGAAAGCAGGCTGAGCACAGGCCAGAGGAGTGAGCAATTCATCTGTGGTCTGTGTTTGGATTCCTGCCTGAGCTCTTGTCCTAGCTTCCCTTGATAAAGACCCTGTAAGCTGAAGTAAACCCTTTTCTACCCAAGTTGCTGTTTTATTACAGCAATGAAAGCTAACTACGCAGAGACCATATACAAATGAGCAACAGATGAACCAGAGAAATCCAGGTACAGGGTGTCAAATCAAACTAAGTTGGCTGTGACTGCTTATTCTACCGGTACCAGGTACCCAACTCCTGACAGCCATATCTGGTAAAGTTCCACAGCACCAAGGTATATCTACCAAAACTGTTGTTAAGGTTGTGGTCCCATTAGAGGAAGAGGGGGGTCCTTAGAGAAATCACTTTAAACATAAGCAATCCTAAAAGCACATTTTAGCCCATAAGTATGAAATAGTGACTGAGTACTGCTACAGAGCTTCTTACCAGCACCAGAGGACTAAAGGAAGTGCATGACAAAGCGCTCCTTACCGAAGTTGCAGTCATCGCCCAGCTCCCTGCCGAACTTGAGCATGGCCTCTGCCAGCAGGGCTTCGGCCTGAGGGTAGCCTGGCCCCTTCTCCTGGCCACGGATTTTTGACATGGTGTTGATCATGCTAAGCTTAGCTCTGGAAGCTGAAGGCAGAGAAAGAACAGGCTTTATAAGGATGCAACACAATATGATGGGGAGGGCTGGCTAGAGAACCAAAGCACACACCAGCCTATACCCAATCAGCTCTCCAAAGCTGTGCTTTTGCCTTCCAGACTCCAGGGTCCTTGCATACAATACGTGGGCTCCCGAATATACACAGACTCTAAACTCCCCCTAAGCCCCTAGAGGATTATGCAGCAAGCAAGAGACAGCACTGCAGGACCAGATGCCAACCATGCCAGCTTCCCACCCCATTCTTTGCAGTAACCTTGACAGTTACTCTGGGACTGGCTCTTTGGAAATGCCTGGACACATGCTGACTTCTAAGCTTTATTCCCACCTTGTATCTCAACTCTATTACTCCATAGATTAAAGTAAGGAATCTGTGGGCCTGTGCTTTGTTTCACTTCCACCATATATAAAACTATTTTTAACTAGGAACAAAAATAGTACTTCATTTAAAGGATTTAATTACTTCTTTTAAACACAACTTCAACTTAAAATTAGTTTTGTTTCTCAAAGATTACATTTCAATTTCTTTTCCATTACTGGTTTTATAAAGTGCCCAGAACACAGTGACAGTTTTAGTGAACAAGTAGTTTCATTAACAAATCATTGAAAACTGTGATTTGACTGATGCTAGGATTCTGGGAACCTCAGATTCATTATCCGAGTTGATTACATATTAAGCTAGGACTGTGTCCAGGATTCTCGCTGCATGAAAACCCCCTGGAAAAATCACAGCTAAAAGCAAAGGTACTTCTAGCATGTGGGGGCTGGTATTTGATCTTGAACACAGAGTTCAAGTAGGGTTTGACTTAAATCTTGGAGTGGAAGTGAGGAGAGTTATGAGGAAAGGCTTCTCCAATACTGCCCTGGGACGTTATAATAAGTGAGACAGGTAAGGTCCCTCTTTACAAAGTTTATAATAAACTAAAGACAAAGTCTATTAAAGGGGAAATCAGAGTAAAGTGTGTATACTAAACGCCAGGATGGGAGACTACAGTGATTCACAGAAATATTGCCTGTTGGGTGGAGCACTTCAGAGAAGGATTTTCATAGGGAAGCATCATTGAGCTTTGAACTATATAGTGTGCAACATTAATTACACTAATGTCAAATGCAAAGCTGGTGGTGACTATAAAAAATTATGCATTTCAATTTTTCAGAGAAAAGTGTGTCATACATGTTAAATTTTAAAAATTAAAAATGCTTCATAATCACCTACTCATAGACCTGCACAGACTTTTTGTAGTCAGCTGTACTGAGATTGAGGACAGAGTCCCAGCCCGCACAGTGCTCACAGCCACAGTAAGTCAGCCAGCCAGTCAGTCAGTCAGTCACCTGCAACCAGTAAGTACTCAAAGAACTGCTAAGACTAATGACAAGATGGAGGAACAAACAGAAGAAAAATAAAAACACAAATGAAAAGGAATCAAGCAAATCCCAGAAAGTAAGTTCAGAATAGAAGGAAAGAAGGTAGGTGGACATGAGAAATTTAGCAATAAAATTTTAAGAGGCATAAGAAGATTGCTGGGGAGATGGCTCAGTGGTTAAGAGGTGGTCAGTCCTCTCAGATCCTATCTTGCTCATTTTACCATCTAAAGATGAACTACTTTAATAAAAGCTGGCTATTAATTTGTGACCATGTCTTGGTTCTATTAAGATCAGCCTTTATAAGAATGCTAAACAATTTGCTATAATGTGGCTGTTGTTAGTGTTAGTATTCTACTAATTACTTAAGAACATGTTGGTATATTCTTTTCTTTTCTTTTTTAAATTAAAGTTTTTATTCGGAAGCTAGCAATGAGGAGGGATCCCCTGCCATGCAGTTACAAGGTGACAAAATTTGTGGACATTTAATCAGTATTTGACTTATCTTACCATTTATACATTCACTTATTTATATTTGAATGTGTGTTGTGAACTATGTGTTCATGTGTGCTGGAGGTCAGAGGTCACATCAGGTATATTTCTAAGCTGCTCTCCACCATATTCCTTAAAATAATATTTTCTATTTTTTTTCCAAAATTTTATTCATGTATGCAATGTATTCTGATCATATTGCAACCCCCAACTACCTCCCTTCCACTGTCCCCAGAACTCGGCAAGAAGTCTCCCTCTCAGCTTCATGTCTTATTATTATTATTATTATTATTATTATTATTAACCTGGGTCCAATTAGTGCTCACCATATGTATATGGGTGTGGGGCCATCCACTGGGCAATGTGCAAACTACCAGCAGCAAACTCCCCAAAAGAAAAATGACTCTCCTCCTGTCACCCATTACCTGCCAATAACTCCTCAGCTAGGGGTGGGACCTCAGGAACAAGGAGTATGAGTGTGTTATAAGATAAACGACATTAGGTCTGAAAATTCTGTCACTATGGAGTTGGCTGATTTTTGTCTTTCAGTTGTGCCTATCACAAGATGTGGGAAGATTTTGTTACTTCAAAGAGGGAAATGTGCAAGAAATTAATCAGGTTTCAGAGGTCACATATTATTTTAAGTGTCAGAGTAAATTCCTTTCATCCTAAAATATGAACATTCATTGATAGAGCACTGATAGAACATTCTTTGGTAGATAAAAGTAAGTAACATGTTTGGGCTCTTCTTCATGAATCAGTGAGATGGACTAGACATGCATTTTCAAAGTTTGGTAGGGAATTGGAACAATGTTCCATGCTTAGAGAAGTGCTGAAGTCTGTGCTGGATAGCTTTAGTGTCAACTTGACACACCTGGGTTGAGGGAGCCTCACTTGGGGGAATTGCCTCCATTGAACTGGCCTGTGGGGCATCTTCTTGATTGTTGAGTGATATGGGAGGGCCCAGCCCACTGTGGGTGGTGCCACCCTTGGGCAGGTGGGCCTGTGTTGCATAAGAAAGCAGGCTAAGCAGGGGCCAGGGGAGCAAGTCAGTAAGCAGTGTTCCATGGCCTGTGCTCCAGCTCCTGCCTCCAGGTTCTTGCCCTGAGTTCCTACCTTGGGCTCCCTAATGAACTGTGATCTGGGAGATGTAAGATAAAATAAATCCTTTCCTCCCCAAGTTGGTATTGGTCAGAGTATTTTGTCACAGCAATGGAGAATCAAACTAGGACAGAAATTGGTACCAGGAGTGGGGTATTGCTGTGACAGGCCCGACCTTGGTAATTTTATGAGGACTGTGGAAGTGTTTGGAACTTTGGGCTGGAAAAGCCATTGCATGCTTAGAGTTTGTTGCTGTGGAGCTTGGAACAGTTATGCTGAAAGAGTTATAGACAATGGAGGCCTGGCTTGTGAAGCTTCTGAGAAGCTGTGGGTTCTGGTCGACTGGGGCTGAAGAATCAGCTGTAAGTAACAAGAGACCAGCATCACTGTGGTGAAGTTTTCTAGGAGGTATTTCCTCAGGGTCAGTGCACAGAGGGGACCCAAGCCTCTATCTTAAGCTGGAAGCAGGACTTGGTAATGTGTAAGAGTCTCCTGCATAGTTCTGGTGTTGAAAGCATGAAGGGGTGGCAGAGAGCAGCTGAGGCTTGGCACTCTGAAAGGCCAGGAAAGGCCATAGGTGAAAGTGCAGCTTCAGTTGCAGTGAAGACCCCAGAATTGAAGGGGTCATGGAGAGAACCTGAGGCTTTGCAGCCCAAGAGGCAAGAAGAGGCCATTGATAAAGGTGTAGCCTCAGTTTCAGGGGAGACCCCAGCTTTCTGGAGATGCCAGGACCATGGGATGACCACCAAGGACAGTGGCAGGTGTGGAATGGGGCTGGCCTGGGTCTGATCTGTGAGATGAGCTGCGTGTGCTCTGGATGGCAGAGTGAGAAAAGTGGAGTTGCCAGAACCCTTTGGAACCCAGAAGATTATGAGTGAATCTCAGATGTCCAGCCTTGAGCTACTTTGCTGGACTTTGGTTTTGCTCATGTGTGCCCGATTCTTCCCTTTGAAATAAGACAGTACTTGTTTTGGATTTTACAGAAGCCCACCCACAGTTAAGAGACTTTTAAAAGAGACTATGGACTTGTACGTGTTTGGATTTTTTAAGGGCTGTGGGGTTTTTAAGGTTGTACAGTCTTATGTTGTGATACTAACATCATATCTTGGGGACACGAATTAGAAAGGTTATGGTTTAATAGTGATGTGTTTGTGCATCAAGTTGTCAAGGGGTCAATTGTGCTGGATAGCTTTAGTGTCAACTTGACACACCTGGGTTGAGGGAGCCTCAATTGGGGAATTTCCTCCATTGAACTGGCCTGTGGCAATGTCTGAGGGGCATCTTCTTGACTGTTGAGTGATGTGGGAGGGCCCAGCCCACTGTGGGTGGTGCCACCCCTGGGCAGGTGGGCCTGTGTTGCATAAGAAAGCAGGCTGAGCAGGGGCCAGGAGAGCAAACCAGTAAGCAGCGTTCCTCCATGGCCTGTGCTCCAGCTCCTGCCTCCAGGTTCTTGCCCTGAGTTCCTACCTTGGGCTCCCTGATGAATTGTGACCCGGGAGATGTAAGCTGAATAAACCCTTTCCTCCCCAAGTTGGCCAGAGTATTTTGTCACAGTAATGGCAAATCAAACTAGGACACCAACTACCTAATTAACAAATTAAGTATGCTTAACTAGTTTAATTTCTTCCAAATAAAGCAGAAGATGGTGCTATAGATAATTATTCCCAAACTGTACACAGCTAGACTTGAAAAAATTGTAATTATGAATATCCTATATGTATTTTAGACTTACTGATATATTCTACATCATCAGGGAAAGGATGAGGAAAGCTATATTCTTTTATTTCTTTGAGCAGCCAGTGTTCTTAACCACTAGTCATCTCTCGAGCCCCAAGTTCATTACATTTTTAAGAACCTTGGGTTGATAAAATTTCTGTGTCCTTGAAAAATATCATCAAATCATCAATTACCATCTTTGCATGTAGTATGACTGTTTCAAAATCCTTTTCTAAAGCAGTGTTTTAAAAGAAGCAGACAATGAGCCTATGGAACACAAACAGAAGACACTGAAATTCCT